CATACATAAAAGATGGAGTTATCTAGGTTCAAAATTAAAAATTTTGTAATATTTAATTAGGTCTAATGTGTTCATGTGGCCCTACATATGAACATTTTATCTAGGTCTAAAATCGATAAAAGTTGGCGTTATCTAGGTCTAAAATTGAGAAAGGTTGTGATTATCTAGGTCTATACACTAAAATTCTCTTAAAATTTGTAGCTTTTTGATGTTTTCACACCACTGCACCAGGTCTTTTTACTCTTCAATCGTTTGTTATGTGGTTGTACTCTGTTTTAAATGAAATAAAAGCCAATCTCAACCTTTAAATCTTTATTTCAATTAATTTGTAAAAAATGCACGTTTAACAATAATTACGACACTACTCAAGTATTGCATAAAAATAAAGAAAAAGCGAACAAAACCCTCGACGAAGTTCTCAGGGACAAATCTCCGCTTCCCTAGACCCACTTCATAGATGATCCACTGACACATCTGACATGTTTCTGAAAAGGAAATGTCGTTTATACATTTAAAAAAAATTATAGCAAATAGGCAACCAGCAATATACTTTTATAGATTTTATTACACAGTTTGTCTAAATATAAATCAATGCAAATATAACAGACTTTCCCCTATTCTAACGCAGGTTTTCTATAAAATGGAGTTCGTTTGAAACTCAATATAGGTACTTTTTGTTGTAAAGAAATTTGTAATTTGCCGCTTTTGAACAAGCGGCATCGGCAAAATCTGCGGCAAAAAGTTATAACTAATTTTTTTTACATAAAAGTTAATAATATAAATATATACAATAAACTCACCTCAAAACTGAAGCCTTCTTATCATACAACTTTTTCTTCTGGCACTGTATGGCCATTGAATATACAAGACGATTTATTAACAATGGATGGTTAAGGGAAGAAAGGCACACCTTCAAAGGAATATCTTGTATTCTTGTTGTTCTTACATCTAGCTGCTAGGGCTTCTGTTACGTTGAGAACAACTGCTACAACACCTGAAAAACGAGAAAAAACAAATCACACCATCAAAAGTCACAAAATAATACTTTATACTTCAGGCACTTGTCCTCCTTACCACAGACATTTGTTATCCTCAACTTAGTCCAATCCACAAGAAGATTTCAACCATCTGCCTTGGTAGTGGACCGGCTACAGTAGAAATTGAACCACTTCCTGCAATATCAGTGACTCGGGAAGGTACACAGCAAAAAGACAATTTAGGGGGGCTGAAATAGTTTAGGATTTTTTTTTTTAAATTTTCCTATGATCCAAAATATTTAGTAGTAGAATGAAAATGGACATCTTAAAACGGATGTATTTGGATCTGCCGATAATGCGGCAATCAAATTTTATGTTAACCTATGAACTGAATGATAAAAAAAATATATTCTAGGAACATGTTAGTAAATTGTGTCGAACGATTTCAAATTTAACCTCGGAATGTCCCCTGGAACAAGCGGTTTTCGAGCTACGAAAAATTAAAAAACAAATTATTAACTGTATCAAATACATAAAACAACTTACCGGCATATCATACTTGGTGTACCACTTAGTCAAAATAATACAAATCAAATAATAAAAATTACACCACATAATAAAAATATCTGGTACGGCAGCTGTAAGAGACAATTTCTTAGTTTGCATTTGACTTTCAATATGTCTTTTACAGTGATAGGAACTCCATCTCACCATAAACAGCTCGAACAAGATATTTTAAAAATTTTTAACTCAATATCTTGATACTGTGCCAAGTACATCAGCTTAAACTTTTTAATATTTTTGAGGATGTTAACAAAACATTTTTTTTACAATTAAGAGTAATTCACTAGTAACAAGATAAATTATCATTTGGTGCATTTTATCTGGGTCTAAACTCAATAAAAGTTGACATTTTCTAGGTCTAAAATGCAAAATCTTAATAATTCTTATCTGGGTTCACATGAAGTTCATATGAAAATTTTATCTATGTCTATATAAAAAGTTTGCCTTATCTAGGTCTAAAATGGAAATTCTAGAGAATTTTTGTCTAGGTTAATAAGTTCACAGGAAAATTTTATCGTCGATTAAAATTGATATAAAATTGGCATTATCTAGTTCTAAATATCTAAATTTTGGGAATTTTTATCTACTATCTAGGTCCAAGACATTCATGTATACATAAAAATATTATGCATCGATTGGTGCATTTTATTTATGTCTAAAATCAATAAAAGTTGACATTATCTAGGTCTAAAACCGCAAAATCTTAATTCTTATCTGGGTTAATAAGTTTCCAAGAAAATTTTATTGTCGATTAAAATTGATATAAAAACTGGAATTATCTAGGTCTAAAAATCTAAATTTTTGGGATTTTTATCTACTATCTAGGTCCAACGCATTCATGTATACTGAAAATATTATGCATCAATTGATCTAAAATCAATAAAAGTTGACATTATCTAGGACCAAAATGTAAAATTTAGAGAATTTTTAAATAGATTAATATGTTCATGCGAAATTGTTGTCTGTATTTAAAAATATACAACAATTGGTGATGTAGGACTATAAATCTATATTTTGTGATATTTTATCTGTGTTCGAAAACGTCGAGAAGTGGATTTTCTTTTCTGGCTGGCAATTAAAGGAGTCACGTAACTGATAAAATATTTATTAAATTCTCTTCAGGCGTAACATTTTGATTTTAGTTCACAATCTTAGTTCTTGGACGGAGTTAGACTTATGCAACAACAGCGATACGACCAATTCAGAATATTACGTATAAATCATACGATATAGTTAGTCGGGACTGCTCGGTAACGTACAACGTAAATTAACAGACTAATTAACGTACAAACAGAGAAGTATACACTACGTAAAATACAATCTGAGGTGTTCTGGTTAGGACCTTTACTCGAGCTCAATAATATTTTTAGCTAAAAAGAAGACAGTTTCGACAATTTTTTTTTAACGAAAAAGCCCGGTGAGTATAAAAAAGATAAAAAATGGTAAGTAGGAACGTTTTTTTAATGTTTATCCTTATAAAACAAATATTTTTGAACTCGAGGAAATACTGAAGTAAAAATACATAATTAATATTGCAACTCTTCCATGTGTGTGCATTTGAACTTCCAAACTTTACGAAATTTAAGTTACGCTTCGAATTACACGCGACTTCGAAAAAATATTAAAATGCAGTGCGTTTTTATTTTAATTACAAGCAAAACACTTTCAAAATTTCGACATTTAAGGGAGCAATTTTTCTTTAATCGATATTTTGGTGAAACTTTTATCGGTCAGAATTCTAACGTCTAAAAGACTTAAATGGCAAAAAATTGATTTTTTTTTGCGGTTTTTCAAAATATCGTTAAAAAGTCTTGCAAAAGGTACCGCCTGTTCTGATTTTTGGTGTAACGAAACGGGAATTAAACATAAAAAAATTTGAGTTGTATGTAGTTGTAATACATTAAAATTTGCCGCATTATCTTTCATTGCGTTGATTAATTCATAAAAGTTATGAAATTTAAATATATTATTGGCAATTTACCGAGACGTGAACAGAAAGCGTGATCGTAAATCATTAAATGCATTTAATTTCGAACACCGTTAATATCGGTACAAGCGAAACTGTTTATAAGAATTTTTAATGGTTTAATTAATGTGACGTTACGGTGTTTATTTAATTAAAAAAAAGGTTTTTGGGAATTTTTCGATCAATATTAGGCCTTTTAGTGCTTCAGAATTTTAAAGATTTTCTTTACATATGCGCTGTTTGTTTCCAGTAATAGCTGTACCAAATTTGAAAAAAATCGTACGAGTCAAAAAAAGTAACGGGAAAATATTCATTTTAAAGAAATAAATTTGAGGTTAGGTTTTTGTTCATAGTTAATGGACAATTTTATTTCGAAAAAATACCTACGACTTTTAGAAAGGTTTTAAAAAATGATTCTTTACTTGTGAATTCTGCTTTTTTCCAAGGAGGCGATTTTTCAGACTTAGAATTGCTTGAAGTTAATAAAATCGCTTCAATTTCTCGATTCTATTTATAAAATTTCCTTTTTCTCGCCAAAATTTAATGCTTGATNCTATTTATAAAATTCCCTTTTTCTCACCAAAATTTAATGCTTGACAATTTTTTTTTATCCATTCATCAAACGGACAAATCATCTCCGAATTACGTGAATAAGACAATTTATTTTACTTGGGACTTCGTTATAACGACTGAACAGACATTTTGTCCTAAATCGATAAAATTCCTTCAATTTCTCGATTTTATTCATTAAATTTCCTTTTTTCGCCAAATTTTAAAACTCGATAACAATTTTTTTACAATAAGCAATTTTTTTTACTTGGAACTTCGTTATTATGACTTAGAGCAGACATTTTGGCCTAAATCAATAAAATCACTTCAATTTTTCGAATCTATTTATAAAATTCCCTTTTTTCGCCAAATTTAGTGCTCTACGACAATTTTCTTATAATAAACGCTAGAAACGGACAAATAATCTCAGATTTACGTGAATAAGACAATTTTTTTACTTGGGACTTCGTTATAACGTATTCGAACAGACATTTTGTCCTAAATCGATAAAATTGCTTCAATTTCTCGATTTTATTCATAAAATTTCCTTTTTTCCCAAATTTTAAAACTCGATAACAATTTTTTTACAAGAATAAGCAATTTTTTTTTACTTGGGACTTCGTTATAATGACTTAGAGCAGACATTTTGGCCTAAATCGATAAAATCGCTTCAATTTCTTGAATCTATTTATAAAATTCCCTTTTTTGCCAAATTTAGTGCCCTACGACAATTTTCATTAAATAAACGCTACAAACGAACAAATCGTCTCGGAATTACGTGAACAAGACAATTTTTTTACTTGGGACTGCGTTATGACTTTGAACAAACATCTTGTCCTAAATCGATAAAATCGCTTCAATTTCTCGATTTTATTCACAAATTTTCCTTTTTTTGCCAAATGTTATTGCTGGGTAACAATCTTTTTCTTAATTTCTGTTTATAATTCATCAAAGTTACAAACGGACAATTTCCTTTTTTCGTCGAGTTGTAACGCTCGGCGACCATTTTTTTTAATCATCCGTTACGCACCATTAAATTTCGTAAACCTTTGGAAGTTCAAACCGCCTAAACCTAGTGCGCCGCGGCAATAAATACGCTACTCTGCATAACCATAAAATTACTGTACTATTCAGTTAAGTACCAAGTGTAAAAGCTCTAAATCTTAAAAATCACAGTTCTCATTCATTTTACAACTATTAAAAACAGTTAGAAGCGCCAAAGTTAACGACGAGGCTTCCGTTTCAACTAACAAAGGCCAACAATCGACCGTACAAAATATATTACTATTTTTTTTCTCAACAAGTTGCGTTAACTTCAGCCCCTTTAGTGTTACAATTTACAAAATCTACAAGTACCCAGTAAGTACAAAGTTTCAGGAGTCGGTCACAGCTTCAGTTCCTGTGCTCGCTACGTGACCTACTAACCGAGCGAAAGGTAGTGCTGTTTCGTCCGCGGCGAATTAAAACCAACGAAACAACACCAAATAAATACACACGAAGAAGTACAACAACTTCCAGACGAGCACGGTGACGAAGAACGCGACCCAGAACAAGACGAAGATACAAACCTGCATTTGTACCCGTACGCACTTTTGCAGGTCGCGGAAAATTAAAAGTCCCCCCTTCCCGTACGCTCGTTCGACGCCAGTAACACTCTCCACGAGACTATTTACGTTCGCCGTGAGACTCTCGCGAGCGTCGCGGTGCTATCGCTGGAAGAAACTCAGCAGTCGCCTCCTGGGTGGCGCGACCGGCGCGTCGTTGGTGATCTTCCGCATCTTCAGTTCCTGGTTGGAGAGCTTGCTCCTCAGCTGTTCGTCGAGCAGCTCCTGCATGTCCATCTGTGGGAAAAAATGGGAATAAATTAAAAAATTCACACCCCGTCTCGGTTTCCTGTCTTACCTGCCACTGTTCCAACTGCTGGCTAAGGTCGACCTTCTGCTGGATGGATTCGATCAACTGACTGTTGGCCTGCATCAGTTCCACCCTCGTCTTAGCCAGTTCCACCTCTACTTTAGTCCTCCTTTGGACGGCGGCGTCCCTGTCGTCCCTGGCCTTAGCTACGACCTCGTCCTGAGCAAGCGAGGAGTCCGAAGCGTCGTGCCGCGCTCTGTCCCTCTCCTCTAGGGCCGCTGCGAGCTCCACCTCGCATACAGAAGCCTAAGAAAAAAAATTGCCACTTAGTTTTTATTTTTCGGTAATGATCCCGCTTCTGATATCATTTTTAATATCCCGCTTCTGATCTACCCACCTTGCTGCTTAGCTCCATGATCCGCTCGGCCCTCCTCGTGAGTTCCTCGTCGCGTTCCTGGATCTCCCTCCTCGCTTGCTCGAGCCGTTCCAACAACCGCACCACGTCCGTGTCCAAGACCAGCCCCACCAGCTCCTGCGCCACTTCGCTGAGCAATCCCGGGGAGAATCTACAAAAGAAACACCACCCAACGGTCGATTACCTCCAGGTGCCACATCAACCGCCACTCACCTAGAAGAATCCTCCATAGAGGCGGTGGAGCAGTCGGAATGCAGGCCGCTGTCGTCGTCGTTGTGGGACTTCAGCTGGGCGACCAGCGAGCGCAGCTGGCGGTACACCGACATGCACTCCTGGGACAGCGTCGGCTCCGATATGTCCATTTCTGATAAGAGAGATCGGTGTTCACCGGCTGCTCAGGGAATACACATACGTACACTGTTAGTCTTTGGGGTTAGTACGATACATAGTCGGATGGGTGTCTTTCGTTCGTGAGGGGTTAGGGGGTGAAATTACGACATGCGTGGTTATATGAATTGTTTTTTTTTAAACTTTGTTCCGGGTACTTTTGAGCAAAGTAAAAAACATGTTTTAAACACGGAAACGTGATGAATAGCTCGGAGGACGAACAAATCAGTGACATAACCTCAAATAATGCAAGGGAATTAAATAGAAAAAATATGTACAAGTTTCCAGCTGATGTGTGTAAGTGTGCGTCATTATTATTTAATATCAATATTGTTGTGTTGTCACAAACCGGTCCCTTACAGTAATCGTTACTGTCCTTAGGGAATTTTGTGTTAATCATTACCAATACCTAGTGTATGTTGGGTTGCCTAACATCAACGATAAACTTTGGTTATTTCTGTTCCTCCTCCAACTAAGTCGCATGCGGGTGCTTCACAAACAAACGAAAACTTACCGCTCAGCCTCTCTTCTATCGACAGCTTCTCTTGCGGCAAACTGTATTCCTTGATGCTCTGCTGGTAGCGGATGTCCTGCTCCCTGGCGTGCCTCTCCAAAAGCAAGATCCTATCGGAGGCTTCTTCTAGAGCGGAAGCCAGACTGTCCCTCTCCGCGGCTGCCATATGCAGCCTCCTCTCGAGCTCCTTGTTTTTCTCCGAGACCAGTTCCAGTTCGTCCCGAAGCCCATCCACACTGCTCATGTGTTCCTAAAGATTAAAAAGCAGTTAAATTAAAGCGTTTCAAAGGAATATTCATAGAAAAAAACGTTTAAAATTGTGCTTTTCACACACCTGGAGGTTGGTCTTGCCCATAGCGAGCTGTTCTTTGTAACTCTCCAGCTGGTGCTGGAGTTGCTGCTCCTTGGCGGCGGATTCTTTTAATTGGGCGGTCAGTCTGGAGTTCTGGGCGTTCAGCTCCGTGACCAGGCTGCCCTTGTCCCTGTCCCATTGCTTGAGGAGGTTCTCCTTGGCGGCTAGCTTGGCTGTGAGCTCGGTGACGTCGTTCTGCAGCTCGATGATACGCGCGTCTAGTTCCGACTCTTTGGAGGTGAGTTTCCTGCGCAGGACGTGCCTGTCCTGTTCGACGGCCTGGAAAGCAAAAAGAAAATTGTCAGAAAATCCGTGAATTGGTTCAAATGGCAAGAAACATTTTCTTTAAGCTATTGCCGCTTTAAAACTACACTCTTACATAAACACAATTATATACATCTTCCACTATGAGTGCACAGTAATGGCTGCTGCTGTTCTACTTTACATGCTTCGTTTGTTGTTTGCGGTTGTGTATAAACTTTTAGACGTCCAGAGGTCCAATAGTTTTGGGAATTGACAGTAAAAGTTTAGTATTGTCGTTACAATCTCTAATACAAGGAATGGCCCCTTCTTTTAAGAGTGTCAATTTATTAGTTTTCATGAAATCGTCTGTGTTAAAATGATCAGAACAAACACAGTTTTTGTGCACGTAAAGCTTTCATCCCAATCCATGCCAAGGAGCTATTGACAAAATCTTTAGCCATTTTTAAGAAAATATAGAAAAAAGTATAACTTTAGTATACTAGTAAAAGCAAATGCAAAGGATATAAGTGTGTGAAACAAACAGATGGAAAATTAACTTCTGAATTTACGGTCAGAAATCGTCTAATAAAATCACGAAATTTTCTTAATTTACAACGTATAGGCATTAAAACTATTCTATAGCACTAAATTCTCATAAAAACAATGCTATTGTTCTATTCAAATAAGAAAATCACGAACATAACCTCAAAAACAATTGAGTAAAAAAACAAAACACAAACGGAACAAATGAAAAGAAAATATGCTGATCTCTTCATCTTCTTCTTCTGACATTTAATGCTTTTCGATAATAGCACTGCTACACGAAGCATGCAATAAAAGCAGATAGACCTACGACCATTTTTATGTACTCTCTTCTTCTTCTTGTCGTTTGTTTAATGAATTGTTTTTGAGGTTATTTTCCCGATTTTCCTATTTAAATGGGGCAAAGAGTTGTGTTTATAAGAATTTAGTGTTATTGACCTGTCTTAAGGAGGTATATCGGGTTTACTCAAATGCGCAGATGTACTTGAAATTTATATAGCGTATTACCCAGTGCTTCATCTGTGCGTCATATTTTTTTTAATCTGGATTTTGAGATATTGTTGTTGAAAGTTGTTCATTTTAACATAGGTTTATATGGCGAAGATGGACAGTGCGGCTTTTTTTTTTGACCATAACTGAGAAAAAAATGTAGAAATTGTGAAACAAAACTTTTCCATAGATAGTACACACTATTATCTTATTTTTGATGTAAAACTAATGTAAGTTTTGAACATAGTACAGCTGTATTAATTAGAAACAGAAATCAATTGCATTTCTTTCCGACTTGAGGATTAATGTGGCAACGTCGGAATCAGCTGACGGCAAGGAGGGAATACATTTGAAAGACTTGAAAAAAACGAAATTGATTTCAAACATATACATTTTTCCTAAATCCCATGTACATTGTTATTCAACAGTAAATATTCGACAACAGATGATTTTTGTAATGTTTTTAAAAAACTAGATTAATTAAAAAAGACTACGAAGCTGTGATATATTTATTGGAATAAAAAATTCAGTTGATAAATCCTTTTAATATATTTAATGCTTTATAAAAACATCGTAATCATTACCCAGTAATATTTAGGGTTTACTTGAGATAAAAGCATTTGTACGGAATAACAAAGGAACATAAATATTTCTCAGCAAACTTTATATCTAAAAAATTACTTATAGTTGTAAAACGTTTGTAACGTTACTAAAATAGAGATTAAAAACACGAACAATGAGTAATAATGTAATTTCTATCACAGAACCTTCAAAATTGCATCCAACATTTTCTTTGACTTGGACGAGAGATGGGTGCAAGTGTCATTTCATTTCTTTAGAACTAAATTAACATAATTCTCGTTGTTTTACCAGTTCACATATTTACGGATTTTAAATAAAGGATACAAATCTTCGCGAGGATAATACGATATATTTGCTATATATAATAATTATATTGTACATAGTTTACACACAATACATTTTTGAACGCGTACGCATCTTTACCCGAATTTGACGCGCAATATCTCCGATGTCCGAGGTCTGTAGGTTCGCAGCGTGTACAACTGCCAGTCAATTATTAGCGCTGTTGCCACATCTACATAGTCTTTATGCGTTAATTAAATATAATTTAAAACTACTTAAATATGATATTTTTATGTTGTTAATTAGTCAATATGTATGCTATGTGAAACAGAATTTAATTTTTTCAAATTGGCAGCGGGCTTTAGTCCCATAAGAAAATCATAGACCCCCCCTGCGCTCCTCACTTCCCTCGGACCCCGATATACTCCTTAAGGATTATAATTTGTAAATTTGGAAAATGTCGTGTTTTGTTGAAAGCTGTAAAACTGTTCGATTTTTGCCCACAAATTCAGTTACTTTTCACCGGTATATTTGCTTGTTATACTAAAGTTTTGATTCTGCGCGCACGGTGGTTGGAGACGGTTCTGACTGGAAAGTTGTGTGAATTTTTTTTTGCACACGTGTCTTTAATAATTGTTAAGGTATTCTGGAAAAATTCTTCAGAATCATAACGACACTTTATACTAGTGCGCTTCTTTTCTAGTTTTCCTAAAAACGACAAAATATTTCGTCAAGGGCTAAATGTCCTTAGCATCATCATCATATACCTGCATTCAAATTCCAATAAAATGAGGGAATTATTATCCTAAAAGTTCGAAATAAAAAAAAATTACATTTCAACACACAAACATAATAAATCACCTGACCTTGGCTTTCATTTAACATAAACAGCAAATAAATTTAAATAATTTTTATATCTTTGGCAAAATGCAACTACTTTAAACATTAAAAACAAAATGTCACTCGCCATTTCTGGGTCAAGTTACGCAAGCTGGCATTTTGAAACACTTGAAGCACATTGGCTGCGGTGTTTCATGACTCTACCGATACAGAGCAGGCACGTGAAGAGGATCTTTAACCCTCATCTTCAGAGGCCAATATCTCTTCGACGGTACATCCCAGAAAAAAATGTTACATAACAAATCGGCATATTTTAAGACCCTCTACAAGTGTCTGATTCGTGTCGGTAGATCTATGCAACACCCTGTATACGAAGAGAAAAAGGATATGATCACAAACGTGGCTGAACTACTACATAACTTTGACAACTATCCACTAGATGGCGATACAGTCCTACAATCGTCCGGTGAAGCGAATTGCACGAAATATAAACTATGACGGACTGTAAAGTTTATGTGCCTTTCGAAATTACACTATTTTAAGTTTTTTAATTTGAATTAACACTTACAGGAGAAAATAGTACGCATTTTGGACGCTAGTAATGATTTGTGTGGGTTATAACAACCGATACACACCGCAATCATTTGAAATCTTTATTGCGCTTGATAGTGTGACTTATGCGAGTTATAATATACTTTTCGCTCGACGATTTCGTTAAAAAAACACCGCCGAGCCCACCGCAGATATTAACTATAGCCGCAGTTATTAATAAATGGCTATAATGGCGTGGTTTCGCCGTGTGAAAAACTGATAGGTGAATGTTTCGAGTTTATAACGTCACGCAGCGTAATAAAGAGATAAAGTAAACAGTAATATCGATTGACAAACCGTAATTAAATGTTATACGAGTACTTGAATGAGCCGGTTTCTACTTTAGTTACGGGATCGATAAAATAGGTATAATTTATAACGCTCGACTCAGAGGTCGAATAGGCGAGTATGTTTGGGGAAGAACAGGTCTCTTGGGTAAATGATACCTGAAAACGCCTCGTCATTGGTCGCGTCAAGGACGAAACAGTCGATGAAAAAAATTGGAAGTGTAAATTTATACCAGTCGGTTTTATTCTAGAACTATTTTAATGTCTCGCGGTGGTTTCATTCATGTTGATGACTCGTTTTTAAATTAACACAACATTTTGTCAGGTATAAGGAATTTATTTGTAATTAAAATATTTTTTTCTGTTTAAATAAAGTCATTATTAATATTGACATTTGTTTTTTGGACAGAACCGATTTATTTTATTCAAAATAGTCTCCTTCCGACACAATACACATAAATATAGTTAAAATTATTTTAACTTCAAACGGAAATACGGCCCAACAGAAAAAAGGTGAAAGGAATCGAGTATAGTTAGCCGATTGGTTGAATTAAGTGTAGCTCTGGAATGAAACATTAGCCCGCACTAGCTCTATCTCTCTCGCGCACGTCTGTGCGATTGCCGTTTATATTGGCAAAATGACAGTTGGGCAGTCCGGTAGTTTATAAGGTCTATAGTCATGCAAATGGTAATGGAGTTGACGCTCGTCCGCATTTCCTCCAATATTTTGTAGAAAAACAAACGCAACTAGCTGTCAAACTACAACTAAACCACCCTTCGCGTAATTCGCTATCAAGAAAGGAACTTCTAATAATAAGAAACGTCTCTCCTCCTGTTTCGGTTCAGTGACGTCTCACACAAGCAGATATCGCATACCGAAACCGTTGATCTAAACCAGATATCGCCGATAGACACTCTAATTTTAAGTGGATGCTTCGATGCCTTTTTTTGCACGTAGACGAAAGGCAGCCACGAAACGGAGACCGGCTACGACGCTTCCAACGTTGCCGGATTGTCGAAGGAAGACCCGAAGTCGAGTAAAAAGGGGAAAATAACAGAAAAGTTATTCGTAATTACAATTATTACAACACATGTCTTTCACGGATTTCACTCGCATACCTACTTTTGTAACTAAAAATGTTTCATCTTGGGCTACTGTCAAAAACTTTGACAGTTTCTTTGGTAAAATGTTAAGATATTTTAAGTCTGTACCCATATGAATTCCTTAAACTGTTTGAGTAAGTATTGAATCGAAAATTGATAAACGCAAGGCATGATTATACAGTAAAAGCTTAAAACTGTTCAAAAATAGGTGCTATGGAAGGAAATCGCATCGATTTTTCCCTTGACAACTCAATATTGCCAAGGGACCGAATATATCTTAAAATAACTTGTACATATCTGTCCTTTTATCTCTCACAA